GTAATATTTTATTGTCAGTGGTATGAAACTAAATGTTCTTATTATGATATTTTCCAACTTTCACTTTATTTATCTATCTTTATATATCTACATAATCTTATGAACAGTATCTTAAGTTGCATACACGAAAGCATAACTCTGTCAACATCTCGTGGATTGTCACAAAATTGGTGCGTTTTCATACCACCTGATTTATTGATTACAATTTTAGAGACATTCTCATTTCTTTCTCAATGTAATGTATGATTTTCATGTAATCTGGAATGCTCATTTATTACCTTAACTAACTAATATTGAATGTTTAAGACAAACATTTATTTGACTATCAAACACTGAGCAGAGTAGAGCATACTGCATAGTTGGCATCTGATCTACTTTTAGTTTTGGTCGGGATACTCGTTAAGAATGTTTTCCATATGCTGAGAAATAAGTTTACCATTACTGACACTGAAATATTTAGTAATTACATATTTTATTTGCATAGATATTGATGTTACATTATATATGTACATGTATATTAGATTGTTTGTTGTAAACATAACTTCACCTGTCTGTATGAACTGTATGAAAGAATAAAGGCTTAGTTAATAAACATTTATATTCGTGTTAGATCTACTCTTATTTTTGCTCTTTTTTACTTGTGATAAATATTATAAACCTAGGAATCAATAATTAATTACATGTGTACTTTACAAAAGTAAGCTCCCTAGGCCAAACTATATGTCATATAGATCTAGTGCTTAAATTCCTATAGTTACGTTGAGGGTCATCCGTGGCCTGGTGGTTAAGGTCAATGACCACAAACCACTTACCCCTCACCGCTTTGTGTGGAATCCTGATAGACACATGTGAGGAAGCTATGTAGATGATGAGAATTGGCGTGTCTTAATGCATTCCTTTTAAAAAATGTATCAATGTATCTGTCAGTTGAATATCTGAAATATTATTCTATTGTGCAGCTGTTCAAGAGATAATACTGTGTAGTGTGATGTACAATACTATTTATCTTTAATATCTTGATTTCTATTGAAAATATAAAGAAAAATAGGTATTAGGCGCCCCCACAATAACAGTGATGAAGATGATGAAATGCTTCACTAAAATTAGATGATTATAGTTATAAAGATGTTACTGAAATACATCAAACTATCACATTCAAATAATGTGTTCAAATAGACAAATTAAAAAACCTGATTTATTAGCTATACAAATATACATGTATATATATATCTGCTGCAAAAATTATTGTTTGAATTTTAAAAAAGGAATACCTCCAAAATGCTTGTATGAACTAAACATAGTGATTGTTTAAAAAGCGAATGACGCCTGCGAAAAATCATTGCTAAACGGATAAAACCCTACTTAAAATAGCAAATAATATTTTGTTCGGGACATTTTATTCTGTTTACGTACAATATGCATGTGTGTTAAATAACGGAGACATTCTATGTTACAACTTTTCAGGAATCAATATAATAATGGAACCAGTGTTATTTTACTTTTGATAAATTTTATAAAAATATTTCATAAGATATAGATTTTTACATATAATAATGACTCACATCATCATCGTCTTTCTGACAAAGGATGTCACATCATCGTCTTTCTCACAATGGATGTCACATCATCATCGTCTCTCACAATGGATGCCACATTATCATTGTCTCGCACAATGGATGTCACATCATCATCTCTCGCACAATGGATGTCACATCATCATCGTCTCTCACAATGGATGTCACATTATCATTGTCTCGCAAAATGGATGTCACATCATCGTCTATCTCACTATGGATGCCACATCATCATTGTCTCTGTCACAATGGATGTCACATCATCAACTTCTGTTTCAAAATGGATGCATCATCATCGTCTCTCTCACAATGGATATCACATTATCATAGTCTCTCTCACAATGGATGCCTCATCATCATTGTCTTTCTGACAATGGATATCACATTGTCACCGTCTCTCTCACAATGAATGTCACATCATCATCGTCTCTCTCACTAACAAATGTCACATCGTCACCGTCTCCCTCACAATGGATGTCACATCATCATTGGAACTCTCACAATGGATACCACATCATAACCGTCTCTCTAACAATGAATGTCACATCATAACCTTCTCTCTCACTAAAAAAATGTCACATCATCATCGTCTGTCTCACAATGCATGTCAAATCATCACCTCTCTCACAATGAATGTCACATCAATTCGTCTATCTCACAATGGATGTCACATCATCATTGTCTCTCTCACAATGGATACCACATCATAACCGTCTCTCTAACAATGAATGTCACATCATAACCGTCTCTCTCACTAAAAAAATGTCACATCATCATCGTCTCTCTCACAATGCATGTCAAATCATCACCTCTCTCACAATGAATGTCACATCGTCATCGTCTATCTCACAATGGATGTTCCATCATCATCGTCTCTCTCACAATGGATGTCACATCATCATCGTCTCTCTCACAATGGATGTCACATCATCATCGTCTCTCTCACAATGGATGTCACATCATCATTGTCTATCACACAATGGATGTCACATCATCATCGTCTTTCTCACAATGGGTGTCACATCATCATCGTCTTTCTCACAATGGATGTCACAACATCATCGTCTTTCTCACAATGGATGTCACATCATCATCGTCTTTCTCTCAATGGATGTCACATCATCATCGTCTCTCTCACAATGGATGTCACATCATCATCGTCTCTCTCACAATTGTTGTCACATCGCCATCGTCTCGCACACAATGGATGTCACATCATCATCGTGTATCTCACAATGTATGTCACATCATCATCGTCTATCACGCAATGGATGTCACATCATCATCGTCTCTCTCACAATGGATGTCACATCAGCATTGTCTCTCTCACATTTGATGTCACATCGTCATCGTCTCACTCACAATGGATGTCACATCATCATCGTCTCTCTCACAATGGATGTCACATCATCATCGTCTCTGTCACAGTTGATGTCACATCATCATCGTGTCTCTCACAGTTGATGTCACATCGTCATCGTCTCTCTCACAGTTGATGTCACATCATCATCGTCTTTCTCACAATGGATGTCACATCATCATCGTCTCTCTCACAATGGATGTCACATCATCATTGTCTATCACACAATGGATGTCACATCATCATCGTCTTTCTCACAATGGGTGTCACATCATCATCGTCTTTCTCACAATGGATGTCACATCATCATCGTCTCTCTCACAATGGATGTCACATCATCATCTATCTCACAATGGATGTCACATCATCATCGTCTCTCTCACAATGGATGTCACATCATCATCGTCAATCTCACAAAATATTAACAAAATTTATAACAATCTTGCACCATCACATGCCTACTTCAATTACTTAATGGGACTCCAATGAGTTTGTTTGTGTTTTTACGCAAAGGAACTGGACATATTTTTCTCGATCTATGCAAGAATCTCACATTATATATGTCTTTTTATGGATTTTTTTATCTCAGGAGAGCTCCTTTAATAGGATTATGTTAACACAAACAACACAGAAAATAATCATTTAATAGGTATGAAATTCAATACCCTTCCTAACATGTTCTCCTGCATCTTGTGAATATGAAATTTAAAAATAAGTATGTTATATAATACATCTTACATACCAAGCATCTCCCTTGTAACTATATCACTATAATATAATTATGTAACTTATTTAAACTGTTTTGAGTGGATACTATATTAAAGATCCTGTGACACATTCTTTTTCATGGTTTTATTTCACAAATATGATGCTCAAATTAAGATTTGTCAATATTGTAAGTTCCAATAAGCATTATTTATAAAGATATTACCGAATTTAACATTTCATGTAAATAAAGGGGGGTAATTAGAAATTTATTTTCTATAAATTTTAAGTCAAATTATCCAATAAGAAATGAATGCATATAATTTATTAATTAAATATAATGTGCACAAATATTTTCAGTACACTTTTTCCATATTCTTCGATGTTTGAAAACTGTTTTATTTCCATAATTATGTACATGATATACATATATAATTTTTGCAAGTGTGGTATACACACAATAACAGTATCAATCACAAAACATATAGGCTCTTTAACATCTTTTTTAAAATGAATAATTGTAATGGTTTTAGAGTTTCGTTATTATGGCTGTTGTTGTTGATTAGAAGATTTAACACATGTATATACATGTAGATATTAATGTATACATGTAGTGTTAACATATCATTCATGTACATGTACATGTTATTTATGAAGCTTGGTCGGGTTAAATTGACCATCTTCATTAGTCTCGTGGACACTTGATGTCTCATTAATGTGACTAACATAGTACTGTAAGTGCCATGTCAACACAAAATGTTCGTCTGCTCACGGATTTATATAAATCCGTGGTCTGCTGCAATACAGAAATTATAATCATTTAGACACGTCACGCGCGCGATCATTTCAAATAAGTGTCATTTTTATGTACATTTTTGTATAAGAATGTTGAAGATTTATTTTAAAAATAGAAACACACTGTTCGTAATTGGATGACATCTATCTAACTGAATTTATACATCTCGTTTTACTTTAGTATGAACACGAATTATTCAAAAATGATCACGATTTACCTCGCACATTTATGTAAATTTATCACTACTATAGAGAAATTTTTATTAAATACAAATTTAGTTGCAAGGTATTTGCAAGCGTAATTAAAGGTGATTTAATAACTCCTGTGCAAATCCTCTGTTATTTGCATCAACATTTATTAGTAATGTGGCAAATTTGCATTACATTATTTTAGTAATGTGGCTACATTCCAGACGCAAATTGTATATCACTCTTAAATGCGCTGCGACAGAAGAATAGGTTCTGCAATAATAATAAAAGGGTTAGAACTACAATAAAATAACTCTAAAATAGCTTCTACAATAAAAAAAGAGAACAGTCCTTTAATCGAATCACATAATTAAAATACTGAAAAAAGTTCATATGACAACAAATTACGGGTGCACGTGTACTACACAGTATGGGGGTAATAAATCGTTAAGAACGTGTAAATCTTCATGCTAAATGTGCAGGGCTATGTTTATAATTTATTAATATATCACTTGAAAATTGTGTAATAGTTAACCTAGATGTCATTGTAACCGGGGGTCATTCATACCTGATTTACTTTATTTTCCCTCGTTGAATAGATCAGTCCTCGTGTTGGAAAACTATTTTTTTGTATATGCTGATTTAGAGGTAAATTAAAATATTTATTTGAATATTGTATTTAATTTTTCTTTGCTGTAAAGAAGTGTAATATTTTATGTATATCTTATACATTATTTACAACATTTTCATGAGAGTAATAAACTGTTTTGTCTTAATTTAAAAGAAAAATCAAAATTACTTCTTGAATTTTTCAGAATCTTTCTTTATAAGAGAATATCTCTTTGCACTAAAAATTGGAGTCCAGACTTTAATTTACGATTTTTATAGTTTCATAACTCAGTGAATACAGTTTAGCTACTGAAGTTTTACTACAAAGGTGTCATCATTAAATAAAAAATGTATAGAAAATAATTTGTCTGTGCTCATTTTTTTTAAACAACGGAGAATAAAAATAGTGACACTTAGATAATATGACATCAATAAACGAAATGACGTAAAATTTACAAGAAGAAGAAGGAATAGTTTATCTGGTAAATTATACATTTATAGTACCTCGTTAAACATACATCAACTTATTACAAATACAATAATTTTGTGGTCACAGACAAAATCAAAGAAAGCAAAAATGATATTAATAAAGATATAAAAAGTTTAACTTATGTCATTTTTTGAAAATTTGAGTAAGTTTTTTCTTATTGTAAAATTACTAATCCGCTTTATGTAATTCAACAAAGGTCCATTGATTTATAAGAGCATAATTGAGTGAAAATAGATCTGCATGAATCTTTATTTGCATTAGTTTACAATATTTCACGTTTTATGTGTTACATTGGTCAATAAATGTTTTCAAAATTAATACCTTTACTGTACACTGTACTCGGATAATAAAACATATTTTGATTGTCATTTTGCAATTTTTTTTAGAGTCATAAGATTTTGTATTTTCTGATCGCAGATTAGCAAATACAATGCTGACATTCAATCTCTGACACAGAAGTTTCACGACAAACCTAAAACAAGTAGTTCTCAAAACAGCTTAAAAGTATCGATGTAAAAGAAAGAAATATTTTTATTTTGTAACAAGTATCAAACAAATTACAACGCATTCAAAAGTTAAGTTTAAAAATAGCGTTGGCTTATAGAATTGTCAATAAATGCACGCGGATGAATATGATTTTAATCAATGAAAATGCTATGATTACCGAGCGTATTACACAAATAAATCTGACTGTCGAGTAGTAGAATATATACATGTCGGACTGTTTTGGCGGGAAGATTTTCGCTAAATTATTTACATCAATGTTAAACAACAGGTATATCGTGAACAAAATACCTCGAAATTAATAAGGATTACAAACCCTGCATGGATATTCTAAATTTAGAATTATTTGATTTTATTCAGACTGTCTCTGTTTCAATTCTCCGTGGTGCAGGGGTAACGCGCTCGTTTAGGGTGTGAGAGGTCTAGGATTCTAACCCAAGTTGTGGCAACTTTTTTTTAAGTGTCTTTTTTAAGGAAGTAGCCACGATATGCAAGGATAAAAGGATAAAGTGTGGCTGTCATAAAAAATGAACATAAATGATTTTTGATGCAACTCTAGTCATGCAAAATTCCGTATGTATCAAACTGTTATAGTAAAAATCCAAACGTAGTCGCTGCATCTCGGTGCCCTGCAAGGTGAATTATAGTATATAAAAATAAACTTATAACAGGAAAATACATACAGGTATACAGTACGATTTAGATTACAAAGACAGAGCTTGTAGACCTTTGATTATTTTATGAAATCTTCACCGCAATATGCAGCGCCACTTAGGAAAGAGTAATCTCAAGGTCGTAAAATAGTTCCGACAACTTTGGGAAAAAAAATCTGATAATCTGTTCCATTTTACGGCAATTTTGTTGAAACAGTAAAAGTTTTCAAGTTTCAAATTTATTGAAGTCAATGCATATAAGGGCTTCTAACAAATAACATGTAACAGTATTATGATTATCAAAATGACATAACAAAACATGACAAGAAATAAGAATATCATTAAAGTACTGTAGTGTAGAAGATGAGAAAATTGAATTACAGTGTATTTGAATCATAACAAAAAAAGATTGTCAACTTCAGTAAAATTAATCTCTTATCACAATTCATCAGTATAGGGAATTTATTAAATTTGGTATTGATAAAAACAAATAACTGTCTTCAGTAATATGAAAATGAATTTATTTATTATTTGTCACTTAATTACTATTTGAAATCATTTCAGTACATATAAAGATGTGTTGGTACATCAAAGTTTCCGTGATTCTAGCCTGCATGATAAAATTGTCTTCAGCACAGGAAGGTCTTTTCGGAAGTTTCGGACAGTCTGGGGAAAATGGTTTGTTTGGAGGTTTTGGTCAATCAGGGGAGGGTGGCCCACTATCAGGGGAGGGTGGCCCACTATCAGGCGAGGGTGGCCCACTCATCAATTTACTTCCATTTATTGGATTCGGACCTTTTGGGGCATTTGGTGGTTATGGATTCTCCAGACCAAATGTAGCTGGCGGACAGAGTGGCACAGAAGGAGCTACTGAAACTGCGGCAGAACCATCGTCAGAAGGACCTGGCTCTCGTCAACCTTCATTAACAGATATCAGTAAGTTGAATTAGATAATGGCAATAAATCTAATTTGTTACGTTTCGATTTATATAAATGCAATTTTACATTTTTTACTCAATTTTACAGTGATTTGTCAAAGACGCATCATGTGATGAAGTAGAAATATGTTATGTATTATACCAATGATTCAATCATAGTATTGTTTTAAAAGTTTCGTATACATGTATGTCATATGGGCTTTTAAATCTTACTGTTTTGAATGGAGTAACTTTGTGTGTTACAGATATGATGTTGATATGGAATCAGTTGCTCGGCGCCAATCAAGGTTATAGATCAGCAAGTGGGAACCATTTTAATCCGGTACAAGCCCCAGAGACAACAAGTCAACCAGCTCCACCAGAAGGTCCTGTAGCCTCCAATAATCGTGCCGGACAAAATGTTGGTGAACCATATACCTACAATGACGCTGATATGAGCTGGATGCATTTCTTCATGCAATAACATTATACAGTCTGTTGTCTACTCTTGAAAATAAACTAATTATTACATATCAGGATAAAAAATGCTGTTTTACGCAATACAACACTAGAACAATGTAAAGTTTGTGTTGTATATACAATTTATGTGTTGTTAATACAATTTATATAGCACTTTATTTATACATGTATACTTATTGAGAAATATTCATGAAATAAATCTGTATTTTCATTTCCCGTATTTTCACTGTAAAATTTTTAATTTTCACCGCAATGAAACATATTTTCCGTATTTGCCGGGCTGCTTTTTTTCTAAATCCAGCAAACTCACAAAATTTAGGGGAATTCTTTCAAATTGTAATGTCAAATAGAAGAATGAAAAGTGTATATAATAAACAGAAAATTCAATTTTTTTCTGTAAATACAGGATTTATATTCATATTGTGGTAATAAAATTATTATATTCGCTTCTGCCACTCGTGAAATATTTATTTCCATATCACTCAATGAAAATAAATCCCATATTTATAGAAAAAAACTTAAATGTCTCTATAGAATAGAATAGAATAATTTTATTTCACCAATCAAGGGTCATACTATATGTCTCTATATGTTTACATATGATTATGTTTGCGACCAGCATGGATCCAGACCAGCCTGCGCATCCGCGCAGTCTGTTAAGGATCCATGCTGTTCGCTTACCAACCCTATAACAAGTAGAGAAACTGATAGACTGCGCGGATGCGCAGGCTGGTCTGGATCCATGCTGGTCGCAAACGCACTATGTTGGTTTTGTCGTGACGCGGCTCATTTATATAATATAAAAATCTGGGAATGGGCATCGAGGTCCCTCTGAAGTAATAAAAGAACAAAATTATATAAAAACTGCAGACTCGGTCCAGGTTGAGTCTAATCAAGATAGATAATATAAATATATACAACTCTCACGCCCACTAGCACCGCCTTTAGGAGGATATTTCATATTCAACTGTAAATGTGCTGGAATCAATGATCTTTATCCATTGTAGTCATATATTCATGTATTTTTTTCTTTCTTTATGAACATGTGATCAAAAAAATGTCACATAATGACCATGTCATACTGACATGTTATAATGCACCACCCAACATTATAATTATTGTAACATGTATACCGATGTTCTGATTTGTATTTAAATCAACTGTTTTATTTTCAAAGAAAAATATCTTAGCAGTAATTATAAGGTGGGGGGGGGGGGGGTTCGAGAGAGAAGGGGAAAAACTGGCAGGAAAAAAATATAAAAGAATTGCAAAAATTTAATATTTGAAAATTACCATTTTATGTTCATACTCGATGAAAAACAAAAATGTGTTTCTAGAAAAAAAAATGAATATCCTAAATAATTATCGTAATTTTCTGAATGTAAAATAAACGTTTATGAGTTATAATAAATAACGCGGCTGTTTAGTTGCCCACGCGTAGAAATATTTCTTGGTCATAAGTACATTTAAAATATAGGCGAAATCATATGAATTATCATCATAACATACAAATATAGAAAATAAATGTTAACATTATAACTATTATTACTATGCTGTGATATTTCATGTAAACAATGATTCTATTTATACAGTTTGATAAGTTATACTAACGAGCAAAAACAGTCGGACATACTGTTAATTGATGTATATAATTGACATTTAATTTAAATGCGTTGAGGTTTGACGGCTTTACACACAAAAAACGTGCGTATATGTCGGTATTATAACCGTCCGAGTATCTTGTTATAGAAAAATACATTAACAGTTAACATACAAGTAAGCGTGGCCTGTCAATCTTAATGACAAACTTAATATTGACCTCCTCATATAGTCATATAAACAATATTTTCTGTAGAATACAATGCCTGTGTTGTACTGAGACCTGAAGGGAGCGCATCGTGTCGGCAGGTAACCATTTTATATACATTACATATCTTATTTCTAAATGAATATGATTTGTGTAAGAAAAATGTACAGTTTTTTAACAATATTACAAAAATAATGAATCACATTTTCTTATTAATCTCTGAAAAATACTTAAACGTCAGTTGGTTTTGAATAGCTGTACAAATAACTTCTAATATATATATATATAATATTGATAATATTTGCAGAATACTTTTTTTTGTTTCTATTGAATATTAAAGAAGAACTTTATATATATATATAGTTCTTCTTTGATATTCAATAGAAACAAAAAAGTATTCTGCAAATATTATTGTTAGCATTCTAAGATGATAACAACTCAAAATCGAAAATCATATTTTATGCTAGATTTGTGGTTCATATACTTGACCATTTTTGTTGAAAAGTATAACGCGTTAAAAGTTACAAGTTTAAGGTATATCTTGCTAAATTATCCTTTTCCTCAACAATGTTTAATAGAAACATAGATAGGAAATGTCAACTATGTAAGTGTAACGATATCGAAGATGAATTTCATTTTGATTTAACTTATGCCTTATTGAGATCGCGATGTTTTCCATGATATCATTTACACGTACTCGTGTGTTTAATTTTACTCAATTGTTATAATCTACAATTTCTTTAATTTTTCTTCTAATTCATTTCAAAAAGTCATTTGATTTTCCAAAGAATGTATTAAACCATTGTCACGAATATTAATTCACGTATAAATATTTAGTGTAAATAAATGTTACAACAATTTGATATATGTATTTGATGTCAATGATCAATTTATAATCGCATTTATAAATGCCTCACCGAGTCAATGCATTTAGAAATTGAATACACTGTAAATTTGTAATGAAAAGATAATCAAATAAATGTGTTGTGTTTTTTTCCTGTAATTATGTCAAAACATGCCTTATAAATATCATAATTCAGGTACAAAATCATTGCAGAAGTTTATTGTATGATACGACTGTGTACTTGAATTGTATTTTTTGTTTTCAGATTTAAAATGTGGAATATATCATTGACTTTAGTGATGATGTGTATTGTGTTACAACTAACCAATGCTCAGTTCGGTGGATTCAGACAGTACTCGGAATTCCGAGATCCTGAATGGCTGATGGATGATCCACATAAATCTGGTACATATTTTTACAATAAAGTTTCCAATATAAGAGAAAGATTCATATTTGACGGAGAAGACACGACAGTGTGTTTTCATAATGATTCGATACTTAAATAATCGACCACTGGGATTTATTACATAACATTAAGGATTTGATGATTTGCCGGCTAAAAAACGATGTCCCGCTTTCTCAATTGAAAAAAATGTTAGGATAATGAAAATATTAGCTTACTCTTTAAAAAAAATATCATTGACGTTACAACCCAATTATGATGATATAATCATTATAATTGATTTATACAGAATATATTTTAGTTTGACTGTGAAGGAAGCTAATAGCTTGTAGACACACTCGCGAATCCGTTCATGGAATCAACCAGTACTTAGCAATGGGCGTAAAGTTTCTTGCTCAAGAAAACAACGACTCGACCCTTACGGGGTTTGAACCCACGTAGATAGCGTCCTTAGATTGGATACTTTATTCACTCCATTATATACAATAAAGGAATGACCTTTAATATTATAATGTTACACTTTATTGAATAGACGTGTCTATATATACAAGTGTGCTGTTCATGTTATACGCCATTTTTATTAACTCTTTTCGTTATTTTTTTCCTTACATACTTGCAGATTATACAGGATTTTAATTTTATCTTTCAGACCGACTACCGATGTGGAATTATTTATTCGGTAATAGAGGATTCAGGTCACATGGAAGAACTATGACACACGGACATGGAGGAAGTCAAACTAGAAATTTGAACGGTTACAATGGTAGAAATACAAACTTCATGTCAATGTTTATGAGCGCCGCTAATTTTGATTACTAGTTTATTGTGATTTGTATGTTCACCAATTGTTCTAGCGACTACAAGATGACGAAATAAATGTAAGAGAAAAAAAGAGAAAAACTTTCTTATTTAATATTGTTGCTTGTTTGTTTTTGTTGTTGTTGTTTTTCTGGTGGTGTGGGGTGTCGATTTTGTGATTGTTTTTATTCATTTATATAATGCTGGAAAATAGCATATAGATCAGCAAACATGGACTAATCCGTATCAGATATCCATCATTAACTTAAAAAGATTACCGATATATTTGGTCTTCTTTGGTATTCACTGGAACCGCCTTATATACACCTGATGAATATTCACTTCACGTGTTTATGAACGTGCTGCATGCTGCTTATTTCCCTTTTATTATCAAATGTTTATTATTTAGAAATAACTCTATAGAAAATTAATGCTGGGACATGATATAATGTTTGCTAAAGTTTGTCCAAGATTTATGCACCTTTCTTTTAGCATGCATTAAAGACATAATTTTTTACATTCGTTATCGGAATCATTAATCGCTATAAAAATGAAAATTGCAGACTCGGTTTGATTGAGTCTGTATATGAGGGATAATGTAAAAGTGCAAGACACCGCACGCCCCCTAGCACCGGCTTGAGTGGTACTTAATTTTCAACACTTAAAAGTGCTGGAATCAATTATCCCGAAGGACCAGAAAAATATAACAACACTGAACTAAAGTACGCGGCAACTTTTACAGCTGTCACACGGCACTTGACACCTGCTGTTGTGAAGTATAAAAATCGGAAGCATAAAATGTAAATCTCATCCTAAAAATGTATTCATAAAAAAGCGAAGTACACTGTATGTTGTTTATCATTCATCTTAAGGAACACCGACATTGGAAATGGGCGGCACGTCAAAATACAACGCAAAGAGGTGGATAACATGGTCATCGTAAAAGTAATATCTGGGACATCATGTCCTCCTAGATAATATCCACTCTAGGGTTATGATAACTTCTTTATGAATACAAACGAACCACATAAAGTACGATCACATCATGAACTATGTATAAATCCCGTGACATCAACAGATTATTATTTATGTTCAAACATTAGTTCGTGCTTGGGTGATTAAGGTCGTTGATTTCAAACCACTTGCCCCTACACCGCTGTATGTTGTAACCCCACCAGGGACTTTGGGCTCTTTCATGTGAAGAAGCTATCCAGATAGCTTGCAAAAATGTCGGTGGTTATACTCGGGTGTCCGTCTGAAGTAATACACGGTCACCTGAGGGTTTCCTCCACCAATAAAGCTGCATAGCCGCCCTGTACTGGTGCGACGTAAAGCCTAACCAGAAAAAAAAATAAGCCACAAAAACATTGGCAACGGAAATAATGCGGGGACAAACCATTTAACAATTATATAAAAAGAGCAATTTGTGTATGTAGTACAAAAAGGATGTGTGTCAAATTTTGACAAGGCCAGACTTTGACGTTGAGATCACAATAAGTCGGCGCCATGACTAAATCACGATGACTGCAATATCAAATACGTTCTACTGTTTGTACTTTTGTTACTTAAATCAATCCATTAAAAAGAAGTTTGACATTAGCTTTTAATTAGTAATATATTCATACTAGAATTTCCGCAACAATGAAAGGGTTACGAGGTCATTCTCGCCATTATAACTTCTATAAATCACCATTTTGCTATATTTGACTATATGAGCATGCCATGTCCTCATATAAACTTGTTTATAGAGTCATTAAAATACAGAACAATCGAACTGCCTTATTATCGTTCATCCTGTTTACTAACTTAGAGCGGATATTTTGTCATACATTTTACAAAAAAACTATATGATTAAGACATTAATGTTAGGTATATGGTGACATTTGTTGTAGCATCTTCATCACGCAACGTCTCACTATTTACATCATTCACTACAACAATGATACCAGCTTATTGTTTTCTTTTTGCTATTTGACACATCGCTGTGTTTTTTATTTCAGCGTTTCCTACTCAAGTTGAATTGTCTCATTCATAAAGAATCGGTAGATTTCTAAAAGGTAAAAAAATGCTCTCACAGAATTAATGGTTTTTGCATGTTAACACGTATAAAAATCGTCCCACATCATGTGTCAAAGTCATTTTATTTTAATTGGTCTATTAAAGAAAAGAAGTTATCAAGATATTGTCAGTTTGATAAGCATGTAAGAAAAGCTTGGCGGCCTCGTATAGATGTGATACGAATGGTTAGTGGCTGCTACATGCAATAAAGTTGTGCTTGACAATATTGGATTACATTTGTAATTTATCAGGTAAAATTTGTTTTTCTTTCAATTTTACGAATTTGGTTTGTAGTAATGTTTGTAGGTGGCTGCTTAAACCTTTTTAAAAATGGTTTTTCATTTACCGTTGATTTTATTTTTTGCAATAGTGTATAAAAGTGCAAGTATTCAAAATGTATGCTAATAAAGAAAGTAAAAAAGTTGAAAATTGGTATCCAGTAGATCTTTAAGACACTGATAACTTTTTGAAAATTACCAGAACAGTTTCACTAAACTTGATTTTTTTCATGAAACTAAGGCAAGTAATATGAAATGTTACAGGCTAGTGCTTTTAACTGACACATCATGCATGTTAGCTTCATTACTAAAGTTTTCCATTGATACAAACATTTTTGTGTAAGTTATTTTTAGCTTCATTTTCTATTATTTTCACAAAACTTTTCATACAAACTTACCTTATATCTTTTATTTTCTTGTTGATGTTTTGTTGTTTTGTTTTTTTTGATAAATTAATGCAAAGTTATCGCCAGCGGGCACGGACAGGAACCTGAGTAGAACCACTGACGTTTCGTAAGCTAGCACATTAGGCATCCAATGTACCTGTCGGGATTCGAACCGACAGCAATCAGGAGCAAGTGACCTTAACCACTCGGCCACGGACGCCCCTATGATAACTTCAGTATTTTCCCCGAATACATAAGATAACTGTGAATTTAAAACTTTCCAATTATTACCGTTACATAAGAATTTTCAACCAACGTAAGATAACAGCGAATTTTAGAATTTCCAGCAAACATGAGATAACTCTGCATTTAAGATTTTCCCAATACACACCAACGCAAGATAACTATGTTAAGATTTCCCATTCTCTTGGGATAAATCTTTTTTTAAACTTTTCCCATCAACTTGAGACTTGAGAATTTTCCCTTTAGTATATGATATCTCTACAATTTTGAAAATCATATGTAAAGAGAAGAAAAGTCCCCCCCCCCTCCAGCTTTAGCTTTATTTATTACCTTTTAACAATCATAAATGTCAAATAAGAGAATTAAGTTAACTATGACACCAGATAATGGATTTAAAACAGGTGTGTCCTGTCTTCAATATTTATTCGTATATTTTACAAGTATAAATGTCACTATGATCCGTTGATTGTCAAAGTATCTGAGCTGACAGTACGTGATCATAACGCACGTGAAAATCAACAAAGTTTTCCCTTTCCATTCGCAGGTATACAATAATGGAGGAGAAACTTGTTCTGGCTCTTGTTGTTGTATGTATGTTAGCAATTGCACATGCGCAGTACACGGCTATTGACCAGGAATGGTTGATGGATGACCCTCACAAAGCTGGTATAATAAATTTTTATATACATGTAAATCATATCAATATACACATGTCATATTTAAAATGATCAATTGTAAAAGGACATATCAAACACCTTCACGTCATAATTGATTTTTTTTTGGAAATAAAGCACGAAAAAAGTGATCGCATAAACTTTAAATTTAGGGTATAAATTATAAAGTACATAACTGATGAAGTAAAATTTATATACATGTATGTTGTTTCCATACTCTATTAATTCTCGAAAATATAACATTGAATGACCAATGTAAACACCTGCCAATATCTGTGAAATTAGGGTTGGTGTTCACTATATCTCTTTAAATCTGGATTAACCTTGTCGTGTATGTGTGAAACTGAAATCTAGAAAACAAGAATATATTTCACATTAAAAAAATTATACGTATACTTACACAAGACGCCACTTTATTCATTCAATGCACGAGACGCCACTTTATACATACAATTACCACATGCATATATTTTTATAATATAGACAGATTACCGATATGGAGTCGGTTGCTAGGCAACGGAGGTTTCCGGTTCAATCAGAGAGCTAGCACACGATTTCCAACCTACAACACCAAAACAACATCTGGGAATTCAGCAAACAACTGGATCCAGAAACTCCAAAATATGTGTAAGATAGATCAATATTTTCACTTTTCAATCAAAATAAAAATTAACGCTACTGTCTGTGATTTGTAATTTAGACCATTTAACAACTGGTTATATACATTCATATAGACTAACGATTACGGAATTTACCGACAATGGGGTCAAATGCGAGAGTGCCAGGTCAATGTTGTTGGACAATACAAGTTATTGTTTAGCGATGTTCTTAACTTTCTGTAATAGCACACTGGTCATAGCTTTCGCAGCGATGGAGTATTCGTCGCAGAAGCGGTGGAAAAAAATGACAGTCGAGTTACTGAATTTAACTTTGTTTTAATGTTTTACTGGAAACACTTCAGAAACGAGTCAGGAGCACGTGTATGTACTCTTCCAACATATTACATGCACACGGTGTAATTCATTGCCATTTATGCAAACGCGTACGTCAAATTTGAGGATGGGCGCCACACTTGCCTAACATTGGTTAAAACACAGATGTGTGCAAAACGACCCCTAAATACACCGGCATCGCATTGTATGAATAATACTTACACAAATCAACCGTGTTTTGGAACTTAGGAAATTGTTATTGCCTGTTTAAAGATAAAATGACAAAAATTATCACAACCCAGACGGCAATGGAATCGATTGCAACGCATTGCCCACGAATTTTTGTCAATTTAAGGGTTTAACTGACATATAACACACTTTTCAACTGAATACAACCTTCTTCTTACTTTGACCGCAGAGAAACGTGTAAATTTGGTGTTTAAAAATAATGTAAATATTCATGGAACAAATATTTTGAGCTGTATAGTTGTGTGAGACCGTCATTTGAAGCGCCTTGTGTCAGAGACCCGCTACTGCAGTACAGGTTTCTGCAACATGGAAAACAAAACAAGAAAATTGATGATTTTGTGGATAAACTGATTATTTGTATATTTTTTCTTTGGATTTTAAGATAATTTCCACAGTTATTTTGGTTTTTATCTGCTTTTGTCGCATTTTTGCCGGACATGAACATTTTTTTTACAGATGTATGTACAGACCTCTGTCATCTAAAAGTTGCCTAGCGATTATTTCTTACTTACAATCAACTTATTAACTGCATAGAATCACGTGAATTGTCTTCATAATTTCTAAATTTCGATTCTTAACATTGTGTTTTTATATGACAAATGTATACATGTGTACTAAATTAATTCTACTTTTCTAGATAACATTTACGTCTTGAGACAGTTACTAGGCAACAATATGGCAACAACTACAACAACTACCGTAGCGCCGCCAACACTCGGTGTCAAAACAAGTAAAGCTACCAATAATCCTTGGCTTAACTCGCTCAGAAATTTCTGTAAGATATTTTAACTCTTCTTGTTGATAATTGCACGGATTTATGTTACAGTATATTGTAGTTAAGATCCGTAATAATTATGTGCGTCGTCATTATTCCTATTGTTAAAAATAACATATAAGGTCAAGAATGTTAATATCTCAAAACAATATCATAGCACTAGTTTCTTTTTAATACATGCATATTTTTGAATTAGGAACCAAAGTAAAATCGAGAGTTACTTATAATTAATTTTACAAAATATGTCTTACTTATGGATATACTAGTAGATGTAATACAAAAAATATTACGTTCTTAAGAATGATGAAACTACATGTATGGTCGTAAAAGATGTTCTCCAATTTTCTGCAGACACTTTGAAATTTGGTAATAACAAGGATTTGTCTGTCTAAAGATACCATAAACTTTAGTCGTAGCAGAGGTGCCTCTGTATGTAGACATGTAACAGAGTCTGACTGTAGTTGTGATGGGACAATATTTTGTGTGTATTTTACGATTGTTTTGGAAAACTGTAAATTGATCAGTCTTTATTCCTAAAATGCATATCATGGTAAGGCAAGTAAAGAAGGCTGTTATGTATAAAAGTATGGTCAGGTTTATAAAATCATAATTGTTTTTATATTATCATTTATGATTATATTTCCATAATATATAATGAAAGTTCATTATACAATAAAGTAAATACTAACATTATGTTTACATATATAATAATGTTTATTTACGTTCATATTTCAGATACAATGGCAGTTTGGAATCAGTTTCTAAGTAATCAGACTGGATCAAATAAAAATGCAAAATAATTATAATCTGATACAACAATTAACCAGTGTATAAAACATGATTAGTATGGATAGTGATAAATAACAAAATATGTTATTATTACAAGAACTTGGAGGTTCAAATTTGAAACCAACTTTCATAATATTTGGAGTTTTGAAATGGATTATTGTTTGTGTCACTGGAAAGGTGCAGAAAATGAATAGCTCAGTGCAAAAACTATATTTCTACAGTAGTATATTTTCAAGTTTTAGGTCAACACTTGTACATATATATGCTTAATTTTCTAATATTTGAATATAGTAAAATAATTGTTCGCAGACGTACAGAATTGCAATGAATTCATATAATCACTTATTTTGCAAGCAGTAATACTAAAAAGTTTGTCTTCTTAACACTAACAGCTGTGAAGAAAACTATTGCATGTCAAAATGTTTATTGTTAGGTAGAGAAATTACTCTTAATCACAGGGACATTATCTTGGTAGAAAAAAAACTGCTCTTGCTAAACCTGTCTCAACTATTTAAGTTTGGTGGAAAATAATTAAATCTTAAGTTGAATACTGTCAGTTGATGTACTGTTAGATAGGATGAAACTATGAATAAAGAACTGTATGTAGAGCTGTTGTAAGTGTATGCACTATTAGACATGTGAAGAACATTGCCAGACATAGAGAAAATGTAGTAACAGTAATTTATAGCCTACAAGTAAAGGTCTATAATCACCAAATATCTCAAATATCTGTAATGGTCTAATTGATGCCAACATCAGTTGGTTTCTTTTGGTTGAGTTTTATATCGCACTAAAACAGTAAAGGTCATATGACGACTTTTCAGCTTTACTGGTGGATGAAGACTTGGGTGCCCTTTCCATGCATTAATTCAGGCATGAACGGACACCAAGTAGAGTCACTGACACTTTGTGAGCTAGCTAGATAGCTTCCTCACATGAAATAATCCAAAGTCCCTGTTGGTGAGAGGCAAGTGGTTTTTTGAAGTCAACAACTGTCAAACTTAACCTTAATATAGAATTTTTTAAATTCAAAAGGGCCATTATTCTGTCAAAATTCATGTTAGAGTTATGGGCCTTTGACAGTGACCTCCAACCAATTCCCTTCAGTAATTTTAGCGATACCAATTTGCACAGAAAAACTTAACTAAAGTATGACGATGATGCAGACACCTAACTAAGTACAATTACTCTTCCTATAAAAGTCAAGCTATAAATTTATGACACATTTTCAAAGGAAACTTTACACAAAATATATATAAATGTAATAATTTAACTACATAATGTACAAATAAGCAGTTATATTTATTTCAACAAAGATAATATATACAGCACCTTTATCACATAAAATATGAAAATACAGTAATCATTGATAAGAGCTGTCTGTAAGACAGTACTTGAATATTTTCAGTTTTTGACAGTAAGAGAAAGGGATATAACTCTGTCCAAAGAAAACCTGTTCACATCATTAAAGATAATCAATGAGAACAAGTGTGTGAAGTTTCAACCCATGCCCTCCAGTAGTTTCAGAGATAACAATTTGCCCTAATAAACTTGAACAAAGTGTGATGGCGGTGCAGACACTTCAATGAGTATAACAGCTCTCCCTATTCTTTGAATAGACAAGCTTGACAAGATTTCAAAGATGTACTTCTCCTTTCTGTTTTGCTAGCTATAAGAATCATCAATTTATTGTGTTCCATGTAAATGTTGGTACATATAGTAAATATCTCATGTGTATCAAACATTAACACAGTTTAAGTTTTCTGTAATAAATATCTTGTACAACTTACTGTCAAAGCAATACCCTAAATAATAGCTTGTTATTGAAGAAAACATGTACTATCTAATGATGACTAGAAACAACTAATTGTTCATTAGTACATGTATATATCCTTCATATAGAAATTAGTGTTTAACATTATATGTACAACACAAGGGTAATGTCAGCTAATTAACAAAAGGTATCATATATTCTGAGTGTACTTTCACCAAAGATTGTATGTACCATATTATATTTTCACTTTCAGCGAAAATAAAAGTTTAACTCTTTTTCTTTATAATCTAAAGCAGAAGATTGTTGGTTTCAGAATTCAGATTTGAAAATGATTGTCTATTAATCTACAGGTGATAAAATTATGATTTTGAAAATCAGACAAGTGTCATTTTGAAAGTTTTACTGCATTTGATAACTTGGCACAGATTGTGGTTCAATCAGCTTCACATTTAGTTTCCCTCACTATGGTCATGTTCCTCTGTTACTGTGTGTTCTGATGTCTTATTTTCCTTCTCACTTTCAGCCTCGTTCTCACTTCCACTAGCCTCATTTTCAATACCACTAACTTCAGTGTTGTTGTTTTTAGTACATATCTCAGAATCTTTCCCGGACAAGGACAGTTCAGTATTATCTTGATCTGATTCAGGATCTTGTATTACAGGGTTATCAGGTGCAGGATGTGAAGACATTGTTATTTCTGGTGAGCTATCTTCACTGTCTGATTTATCTTTGTCGTTAGAATTAGCATCCCCTGAATTACTGGCAAGCTGCCAAGATGGTAACATTGGGGTAGCTGTTGGCATTGATGGAAACTGTCGTCTGCAAGGAAAGCAAACAAAAAAGATATACTTCTGTTTACACTTAATCCATTTACTCTTTTAATCATGAAACAGTTTATACTTTAATATAGTCCTAGTAGGACTTCTTCAAATAAATAAGTAAATGGATGAAAAGAAATTAGTATTTTTAACTTTAAGCATCAAACAAGAAATAAAATCATAAATAGATAAATAGAGAATGGTTATACCTGTTCAATAAAAGTCCTTTTATAGAGGAAAGCTCTGATTTGATCTCACTAATACTGGAGCTGTTTTGTCCTACAGGGCTACTATCTACTCCCTACAATAATATATATATCATTTTTATATTATATACAAATAAACTGCATTCCTGTGGTAAAAAGCAACAAAAAATTATTATACAGTTTATACATATACACGTAATTTCAAATCTTTGACAAATAATAACTTCTTTTATAATATAAAAACGTTATACAGTATCTACTACATGTACTGGTCGGGGACCATCAACCAGACACTTTTTGAACATTTTTCCGTACAGATTTCATAATTTTTAACCTAGAGATAAAAGAATTTGACACATTTCAGCTAGGTTCTTCTCCTAACTAACAAACTAGTTTGTTTATTTCTGATTGTATTGACACTTATATCTGAGGCTCAACAAGGAGGGTATCAAAATTACCTAAATTGTCTACACTACAGGACCATGTGTCCAGACAGATATGTACATGACTTGATTTAGATAGCTTTCAGATAAAAGCTTGGGTGTTTTTATTTTTGATTTTTAACATGATATACCATATTTCAGCAACAAATGATGAAGTTTTGGATATTCTATTGTTTACTCTGCAAATGATTATAGCTGGTATATGAGGTCAGGCATGCTTTCTTGACCCCCCAAATTTCAACGTCAACATTCTTGAAATAGACATTAAAATATTACCATTTACGGAAGTTGAAATAAATTTATTTACTTAATTTTAGAAGAAACATGCATTTATTGTTGATGAAAAAGTGACTGACAACCACTGAACAAAGAAAATACTAAATTAAGCATTTTCGGGGCCGTCAGGGTTTGGTGGTTGTCCAGTTTTTGTGGTTCCTAACCAGTATAGAGAATTTTATTGTTCTCTTTTTTTTTTACAGGAAATATGACATTTGTTTGTTTTTTTACATTGTATGATAGAGGATATTTGTTTGTTTTGCACTTAAGATTGAAATATATTTCACTGAGTGAACACCAGATGTAATATTTTCACGAGTGGCGTTACAAAATGTCACTTGAATGTGTGAATATTTATAAATTAATTGAACTGTTAACATATTTTCTGAAGTTTATTATTTCAATTTTTAAATAATTGTCAACTGAACTGGAGGCATGTAATTTTAATGTTGTTTAAGAAATAATATATCCCAAAGTGTGATTTTACTGCTAAATAATATCACTGTTTGGAGTATGGATGTGAGAGGGGCATAGCACCATGCTTTATAATGTAGTTTGTTTTGATCAATATCACCTAAAGTCCAACTATTGATGGTCAACAGAAACACAGGAAAATTGGTAGTCATATACATATGTCTTTTCACAAACAGATCCATAAGAATAATTTATTTATCATAGTTATCAAATTTATCGAGTTTGGAATTTCAATGTCTTGAGAGCTTTACCTGTCAAAACATATTTAATCATGCTGTTTAAATTGACATATAATAACAGATGTTAACTTACTATTTTACTGTTGACATCATGTGATAACATTAGTAGTTTATCTTGTTGTTTTCCTAGTGTTTCCTCTATAGAGGTAAGTGTTGTATTCATGTTAGTTACTGACTCTGCTACAATCTTCTCTAACTTCTCCAGTCGTCTCTCATTGGTCTCGTAGCCAAATAACCAAGGTCCAAAATACTCCTACATCATACATCATATATATGACAGAACACATAATCAAAACACTTACATCATTCCTTACTTTTTTTCCCAATAGTCATTTTGATAACCTCCCTATTCATGAAATGGGAAATTAATAGCAATTTTCAACTCCTTATTCTGAAGTCATTCCACTCAAGTGTTATTGGAGTGCAAGTATGTCTAATAGAGAAAATTAGTTCAATAATAGCTCAAATGTTAATCTTCTTTCATTAATATGTTAAATAAGTTATTAATATACATATGACAACTTTAGATGCCTTTATGAACAAATGTTTACTCTCAATATTCTTCATTTGAAAATGAAATATTTTGCAGTAAACTCATTTTACTTTTTTTTATAGTTTTTTGGGAGTTTTTATAAAGACATTATTATAGGCAAAATTAAAATTCTGCTTACATGTCTATATAAATATAAAATCTCCCAAAAATGTCTCTAATGTGCTTTACTGTGTAATAACATTAATCTATTTACAAAATAATGAATAATGACAGACATAAAAGTAAGGGACATTGTTTAACAGTATAAATTATACATATGATAGATGTAATTAACAAAACAAGAGAGCACAATGATAACATTTTAAAACCCTGTCGTGAGGCAAAACACAAACTTATAGAGAAAAGTGACATATACTTCACTGATGAGTTCATAATAATATCTCTTATATAGAAGGTGAGAAAAGATAAAATAACCATGAACATTACCTTGTATAGTTTATAAGCTGCATATGATATTCCAGATACCATAGTAACCATTGCTAATACATGTCTAGCTTTCATCCATGTACTTATCTCCTCAGCTAAAAAACAAAATCAGCATTAAATTATCACATGCATAAAAACATCACTGTAGTACTTCTGATGCAGAACAATCTTGCATCATCTTTTTACTCCTTACTTATAAAAACATAAGGGACAACAAAATCTTTGTGAAGTTTAATAGTAAAAAACACTTAGACCTAAATTACCCAAAAGTTACAGTCCACCATCCAAACAAATTGACATTTACAGAGAAACATTTTTTTGCAGAAATAAGAGGTCTACCAACTAAATGTTTTGCCTTACAGGAGAAAAATGACACAAATTTCTCCCCAAAAAGGAGACATATGAAAATCAACATACAAGAAAGTTATTTTGTAATATAGAATGGATACTGTGGATGTGTAATATTAGCCCCGAAGTTAAAAAAATTTCAATTCATTTTTTAAAGTAACTGAGTTGAAACTGGTGTCATATATATTTCACCATTGAAATGTTTCCTCATTTCCTCTAAAAGAATTTGTGGAAAATATCAAAAATCAAAATGGTCTGTGTTCAAATCAATACATGTATATACTAACACACACTAAACATGAATTCAGTTTATATCCTCTTTCAATAGACTATATATATCATCTGAATAACTTTGTTTTTGTTAACACAAATTGCCATTAAAGGACAATAACTCTCACAATATGATTTAGTGCATTGTATCTGAAAGTAAAATGTGTTACCAAATTCCACAAAATTATGCATTGAAAAAGTTACAGCACAGAAACCATAATTAATTTGCCATTCAAAAGACAATTCATTGTATCATATTGTGTATCTGTGTGTACAAATATATGTGTTACATTTCGGAAATAGATATCATTTTTGAGTGCATTGTTGTAGAATATTGCATGTGTCAAGTTTAGATGCGTATGAATGTAATCAGTAAGGCTTATAGGTCGAGTTATCAATTATTACAAAGCATTTGAATAATAAACCAAGCAATGTTATACTGTAATGGAATAGAAATTTGATATCAACTAGAACAACTACCTTTGACAGGAGGTTCTGGGGCTGTACCTTGTTGCATGGCAACAGTATCCTGGTAACCAGTATTACCCTGTATAACAGCATTGTTCTGCTGAACCCCTGCTCTCTTCACAGCTACTTCTATCTCCTCAACTGTTAAACCTTATAAAGTACAGTACGACTACATTAAATGTTAGAGAACATAATTATCATTTTGTTATATTAAAGGCACATTTAAATTATAATGCATCAGAAACGATTATTTTTTCCTTCATTAGATAGGGCACAAATTAGTTTTACAATGTTTGGTTAAACAGCATGTTTGATGTTTGTTACCTGAAGAAAATAGCATGTAATGTGAAATAATGCCAGAATGCAACAGAAGTAAAAAAAGGTTCTGATAAATGGCTTATAAATTGACTTCAAAAAGCAATCCTCCTTTATAGCTGAAGAACCTTCATATATATACAGTTGCTGTTTCCAAAGCACCACCATCAAGTTGTTATCTTGTAAGTAAAAATGCTATGATGGATGGACGGAAAGACCCCAGGGGTATAACATAATATAAAAAAAATTTTTTAGGGCATATAATTAATGTACTCAATATATTAAGGTCATTTGATATTGACCTTTGACCTTGTGACCCCAATAAAGATATAGAACTTTTATTCAATATAGGCAATCATCCTATTAAGTTTGAACACTGTAAGCCAAATGGAACTTGTGTTATGCTCCAGAAAGCACAATTTTCAGTGTTAAGGTCATTGTGACCCTGACCTTTGATCTTATGACCCTAAAATCAATAGGGGTCATATATTGGACATGGCTGTTTATCCTATAAAATTTAACAGCTGTAAGTTGATTAATAATTAAGTTATTGAGCGAAAACCGTTTTCAGTTTTAAGGTAAAATTGACCTTGACTTTTGACCTTGTGACCCAAAAATTAACAGGGGTCTTCTACTCAATATTGACAATCATCCTATGAAGTTTGAACACTGTGGGTCAGATGGAACTTAAAATATGCTCCAGAAAACACAATTTTCAGTGTAAAGATCATTGTGACCCTGACCTTTGACCTTATGACCCTAACATCAATAAGGGTCATGTATTAGACTTGGCTGTTCATCCTATAAAAAATTTCAGCTGTAAGTTGATTAATACTTAAGTTATTGATCGAAACCATTTTCAGTTTTAAGGTAATAGCAACCTTGACCTTTGACCTTGTGACCAAAAATCCAATAGGGGCCTTCTACCTAATATGGACAATCATCCTATGAAGTTTGAATATTGTGGGCCAAATGGAACTTAAGTTATGCTCCGGAAACTGTTTTCAGTTTTAAGGTAATAGTGACCTTGACCTTTGACCTTGTGACCCCAAAATCAATAGGGGTTTCTACCCAATATGGACAATCAACCTATGAAGTTTGAATATTGTGGGCCAAATGGAACATAAGCTATGCTCCGCAAACCAAATTGCTAACGGACAGACAGATGCCAGGGGGTATAACATAATATGCTCCAAATTTTTTCAGGCATATAAAAAGCTTTTGAGATATAATGATAATGGATAATCATAAAGTTTAACTTGTTTATTCATTGATATATAATGTATATTAATCTTGTCTCAACATTCAAGTTCTTATCTTATTTTTATAATCATTCTTGTAACACAGATGGGTGAAATAAGCTTTTGGCATGACATTGATATATATATTTCAATTAGTTAACTTAATATGAATGAAATTATCACCTTTTCTCTGAAGAAATGCTTTCTTCTGACTGAGGGCACTTTGTTGAACCTTTGGGTTCTGTAAGAACTTTACTGCAGTTGCAACCTGTTTGTTTCATGTTAAATAATAAACATTGTACATAAACATACATAAGTTGTATTAAGCTATATATCTTGCTTTAAAAATCATTATTTTGATTTTGAAAAAAACAAAACATACTTATAAAATATATACATCATTATGGAAGAAATATGTTTTTATATATCTCATTAAGAGCGAATGGTGTGAACACAAAATCATTGTTAACAGCTAAAGACCTACTTAAAATAGCAGCATAATAGTTTGTTCAAGAGCATTCCATTTGTTTACATACAATATGTATAACAGATATATTCTATGTTTCAACTCTTTGGAGAATCAACTATAAAATAATGGAACCAAAATCATTTAAAAGACAATAAATTTCATAAGATAGCTTTATACACCTTAAAATAAACATTTCTTGTGAATAAAATATACTATATATGGTCCCATATGCTATCAGAAAACAGCACTTAACAAATCTAACATTAATGTAGTTATTAAACTGAAAAATTACAAATATCATATGATGCCTGTTGTTTTTTTTTTTCATTCTAGAACAAATTAACACCTTAAACCATAGCATTTGAGGATTTGGATAATTAATAACAACTTAGTTTTCTTACCAGGTCTTCCCTAATTCCTTCAGCTGGTGCCAATACCTCCTTTGATAGCTCAGTCTGTAAAAAGCACACATTTTTTAATATTTTGTTAGAATGGCGGGAACTCTATAAGACTATTCTAGCTTTGACAATAGACAAAACTACTTTCAAATTTTAATATCAATAAAAAGTTGATTATGGTATCATAAACATTGGTTCTTAAACCTGCATGCCTCCAGATTAGCCAAACTATTTTAAGAAAATAAAGTTTGAAAAAAATGTAAGAAGATTTTAAGAAAAGTAGATTCAAGATTCAAGTGATAATTTGTGAGATTAATGGCTTATTTCCATATTTCTACTTGGTGAATAACTGAGTAACGGCTATTTTTGCATATTTTGACCTCTTTTAGGTAATATTTGGGATTGCATGTGCCATATGCAATGTGTAAATGACTTGTTTTGTCACTTCACAATATTCAATTTTTTAATAACAGTTTCAAATTTTCATGAAAATTAGCATGAATTTGGAGGTGTGTTGCTTTAAACAATCTAAAAAGCTATTCAAACACTTTGTTGAACAACATTTTAAAATTAGGTGTACATTTAATTTTTTAATTGGCTTTAAAAAATACAGGGATATTGGCTTTAAATGCTACTGGATTAAGTGTTTATGTTTTTGAGATAATAATGAGTCTTCAATCTTTACTTTATTGAGACTTGATGGTTAATAGGATTTATTTAAACTTCATGTGGGCTTTGAATTAAACATTTGTGTTAGATCCTGAGATTTGACAAGGGACTTGCAAGGTGGTGTCAGGGTCTGACCCCAAATTTCTGTTCTCTGTAAATGGAGAAGAAACCACCACTGGTACAATGACAAGAATGTAACAATCATTATTTTCACAAAATGGAAAACATCTGACAACAGGTGTCTGTGAGCAAAATATCTATAGAGTAGAAACAATCAAAGATACCATATTAAGTCAACATTTTAATGATATAGAAAATAGACTATGTGTCTTTTCCTACCTTAATTAAATAATTTGTATAAAATAATTCAAAAATGCAATGCAAATGATAAAAACAAAACACAATAAATTACAGTCTACTGTCTTGAGTCAGGAACCACCCTGTCCAAAAACACAGTCGTTCCTGTCAATTGATCATGGACAACAATATGTACTGTGTTGGAGGACAAAGGGATTATGTGAAAATATTGGAAATAGAATAAAATGCAGTGATTTCCAACAAACATATTTATTTTGTGTATCTTTTATACGTTGAAATATGAAAATTTTTCAAAACATTATGTAATATTATACAAATATGGACTTTTTAGCTGTAGTAGTACATATCTGTTTTATTATATAATCTATAAATAGCTTTTATATGGCTTATCACATCTGCCATTGCATACGACGGAAATCTTTATTTTTCAGTTTGTCTCCTGTTTCCATAATTTGGCCCTTTCCATTGGCATGCTAATCCTTATCTTATTTAAAAATGAAAAACGGTAACTAAAATATACTAATTTGACTCTTATGTACACGCAACGCAATGTTTCTTCAGAATAATAACAACACACTTGGCGTGACGTCACGTCAAAGTCTCGCGTCTTTTAGGGATTTCCAGAAAATCTATTTTTAGAAGAAAAACCGGTGAATATACTCTGAAAATCTATTTTTAGGAAAAAAACAGTGAATATACTCTGATATTGACCTGTTATTTTTTACAAAAAGTTGCTTGTTAGCCAATCAGGGAAAGGCATTTCAAAGCTATTTATAGATTATATAATAATATACAAATATGGACTTTTTAGCTGTTGAATATGATGTGATATGTACTGAAAAAATTAATATTGACCGAGGCGATAGCCGAGGTCAATATTAATTTTTCAGTACATATCACATCATATTCAACAGCTAAAAAGTACATATCTGTTTTATTATATAATTTATAAATAGCTTTTATATGGCTTATCACATCTGCCATTGCATACGACGGAAATCATTATTTTTCAGCTTGTCTACTGTTTCCATAATTTGGCCCTTTCCATTGGCATGCTAATCCCTATTGTTCTTAAAAATGAAAAACGGTAACTAATATAGACTAATTTGACTCTTATGTACACCCAACTCAACGTTTTTTTCAGAATAATAACAACAAACTTGGCGTGACGTCACGTCAAAGTCTCGCGTCTTTTAGGGATTTCCAGAAAATCTATTTTTAGAAGAAAAACCGGGTGAATATACTCTGAAAATCTATTTTTAGGGGGAAAAACAGTGAATATACTTGATATTGACCTGTTATTTTTTTAACAAAAAGTTGCTTGTTTGCCAATCAGGGAAAGGCATTTCAAAGCTATTTATAGATTATATAATAATATTTATATCTACAGTTCTTTCAAAATTCAAAAACTCACGGGGACGTAACTGTTGCGATAAAAAATTGCAAGGTTAAAAAAAATTTTTTTAAAAAGGGGATAAAAGAATTTACAAACTGTCTGGCATCAAATTGAAAAGGTTTTAAAAGATTGTTTAGAATAATAAAATGATTTTAACCAAGAAAAACGGGGAGCGCGGGAAAAAACTGGGGTGACTGAGACTTTTTCAGGCAAGTTATGGTCCCTGAATGCTCTGGGGGGGGGGGGTGGGTAGGGTTATTTTTTATAAGGGGTCCCAAAAAAAAAAAAAAATTCTTAAAAAAAATATGATTTTAAAAAAAAAAATTGTTTTAATCAAGTTTTTTTTTCCCCTACAGTGGGAATAAAGGGTTAAAAATTTAATCTATAGTTCCCCCCCGGGGTACTCCGTCCTTGCCATTCCGGTGTAAATCAGGAAAATGTTGTTCTTTACACACTGAACGCCAACAAATAGTGTATTAAAGCACGGATTTATATTACAAGGATCGGACCACTTTCGTTTAGCTTAAAGTCCCGTCGAGCGCAATCGGATAAAGGTGGACAGAATGAGATGGCGGAACGCGCGGAGTGCGAAAATATGACAGATTTTCACAAGAGTATGTGATGTTTATTGCAGCTTTGTGAAAAATTATACACATCATGAATGTATCTAATACAGTATTTATTTTGTGTCGCTAAAGTATTAATTATATGAAAATATGCCGATAGTAACGCGCAACAACTTAGTTAAAAAAGTACCTAATTTAAAAAAATTTCGCCTATTGGTTAAGGCTACTCTCTACACTTTGTGCGCACTTTTTTACTTCAAGCACGAATTATTACCGCGATTCAGAATAAGACTAATTTTATTTTTTACATGGTTTAATAGTGGCATTGCAAAAAAATGTTTCTTGATGTAAAAAAACTTTTAAAGAAATTCATGTTTTGAAATGTGTCTTTTATTTTCTGTGAATTATTTCCAAATGATTTGTAAATTGTACATTCTTTTATCTTGATTGCCTGTATATTAGTATAAATATAGTAAATATTTCTATTAGTGTAATTAAATATTATTTTCAAGATTCTGACAAACATTCATATATAGATGAATTCATTAGAGATTGGCAAGGGGAAGAAATTTTCATTGGCATAGAGAACGCTGTTTTAAAAAATTATTTTTTTTTTGAAACAGATTTTTTTTTCATAGTTATCCTTACAATTCCGTCAAAAAATTTATTTGTCATATGTTTATTTTCATTATTTTCCAAAGAAAGAAACTATACAAATTTAGTTGTATATTTTCAATTTCATTTATAAAAGTTAATTAAGAAAATAGATTTACATTTATTTATATATATCCTCTTCAAGAAATCATTTTCTTAGCCCGCCCGGCCCCCCACACTGCCCATGGAACTGTAGTTAAAGACCCGCGCACATAACAAAATATACATTCAAATTCTATTTGTTTTTGAAAGATTGAGTTTGCAATTATCACATGTAACCTGGTAGTAAAGTTTGAAAATTAAAATTTTTTAATTATCCACTTACCCCCTTCAAAAGTAATTAAACTTGAAAGAATTTAAGCGATGTGTAAAAAATAATCAAAAGTTACTTTTATTTTCGCAAAATAACTTACTCAAACTGTAAAGATTTTTACTGTTTTTCTAGCGTTATATTAAAAAAGTATCATAAATATCTTTCTACAGGCATTCAAAAAAAAAAGAATATTAAATATTACGGATTAAAATATTACGAGTGACTTAAAAGGCCGGAATCTAGACAGCCACACGAGAGAAACTTTTACTTGTTACGATGATTGTCTACTTCACTGCACTGACTTTGAAACAGGTTTACAAAAATAATAATGATATAAATGATGAATGAAATTTAAAATATTCTATGAATATGCAATTATTGACAATCTCGGCAATAATTGTACTAAAAAAAAGTGAATAAATTTTTTCACTATGTTGAGCGAATGTAAAGGCCGCAATACAGTTACCCGTTTAAACAATTGTGCGTTAATAAATTGACTACATAACCCAAATAAATTTAAAATATTGCATCGCATAACTTACATCGGCTTCTTTTTTATTTTTGAAAACTGAAATTTAATTATGGTACCTTATAATAAAAAATTTCCAATACCTGCTTTTTATATAAAAATGTAAATTTACCGCGGATTTCGTCAAGTTAATTTTTTAATCGTCGTTGCGGACAGATAAACTATACCTTTAAAAAATAAATTAGATATTTGAATTAAACAAGTATTTTTCTTCAAAATAAACTTTAAATTTCCTAAATCGGATAATAAATGGAAAAGCTGTATAGTATTTTGTAAAGTAGGTATCTGTTGCAAACGGGCATTTACGCTTAGCGCCGGTAAATTATCGATCGATGTACCTTTATCGGGCGCACGACAAGATATTTAAGCATTTATATAGGGTTAACTGGGAGTGTCCGATCCCTGTAATATAAATCCGTGATTAAAGTGGAAGTGCTGCTTTTATTAATTTGGATAAAAAATTGTTAGAAATACTTTCATTTCAAATAAATTTCTGTCAATGATAGGAAAATCCAAAGCTGACCGCGTGTGTTGATAATTCTTCTTTATTTTACCCCATATCTATACCAGTTTAACTGATAATTTCATATTTTGACAAGTGAAGGTCGTCTGATGAAACTGTTGTGACATCATATTCTGTAGAAAAAAATTAAACTGAAGCCAAAAAGGGCCATCAATTGACATACCACAGTACCATAGTGCTCTCCGTTTAAGCTCCCATTCAAAACATGGCTGGCTGACCACAGTGTTCGAAATTAGCAGTAGTCTAATAGCCCGTGACTACCAAATTTCTCTTCGGGCTGCCAATATTTCACAGCAACAAGCCTGACTGGGCTACCATATTTTCAAAGAAAAATATAAACAACTGTTTCGAATGGATGAATCCGGCTAGTGAAATGTTTTTCGGGCTAGTGAATATCTAATCTGGTAGCCCAACCAGGTTAGTGGATTGAATTCCGAATTTCGTACACTGTCAGACCAAAGATGTTTCTAATTTAAATCAGAAATTGAGTTACTCTATGTATGACATGTGTATTTTAAAGTCAATTTGCAATAGTTAAATACAATTTAATAAAATAGATAATACAAGTTCTTTTTATTTGTACAATTTGCTGGGAATAATAAGAACAATGGTACCAATACCATAGGGGACCATCCTAAATAGTCTGAGACTGAAGCTGCAGTGACCAACCTATAACTCTTATATGATAAGTATATGTGCTGGAATTGACAAATATACCATTCATAATCATTTGGACTACGCGTTAGGATCTCCACAACAAAATAAATCAAGGACAAGTAGCTCCCACATCCCAAGTGTTTGTGAAAACAACTATGGATCAGAAGGCAAAGCTTCATATCATTATCCGTGATGAAGTGCATAAGACAAATGATATAAAAATGTAGAAATAATTTGCTGACAATTCATCTAAAGTCTTAAAGTAACGTTTGAATAGTGAAATCATCCTATATTCTCACCTTTGCATCTTGATCAGCCATTTTTGTTTAATCGCCTAAATGCTGTTGTAACATTGATTTTAATTGGTCAATAGCCGTTATTTTGTCGACAATCGCAACTTTTCGGCCTTTTCTGTTCAATCGCACCTTCTCGGCCCTTTCCGTAAGGAATACCATAAGTTTTAAGGGTTTTAGAGTACTACATAACTTTGATGTTACACGGGTTTTTGTATGGAATGCCGGCAGGGACTTGCCAATTTGCTTGGCATATAAGCAAATCAGCAATAAGCAATTCAGCAGTTGGCATTATTTTATTTTTGCAACAACATAGATCACAGTTACATAATAAGAAATGTATACATGTATATATAAAATAACAGTTTAACAAATTAAAATATCATAATGACATTTCATATAAATAATAAATTAAATAAATTAAGTTAACGACTGAAATCAGATGAGGCATTGGATAAAATTATTAAAAAAATATCACAGTTCAGATTAAGACTACAACAAGTCAGAATTATAATTAGCACAGAATATTGTTTAAAGTTACTGATAGACATTATATATGAAAACTAAATAGTCTGACCTAGATTTTATAAGAAAAGAAAAAATAATTTTAAAAATAAATGAATAATAATAATAAAATTTCAATACAATGGCAAATTGCTATGTCCCTACCGGCATTACATAGTTATTTGTTTTTCTTTTTAAAATATTAATATTTTTACTTTCCTTGCTAGTTTTTTGTTGTTTTTTCCCCTAAATATTTGTTAAACTTTATAAGTATAAGTATGACCTGTATTCGGAATAAACGTGGTACAGTATACATATACTACTATATGATCTAGATAAAAGATCTACATCCCAGCCTAAAACATGAATTATTCCGCGAGATACAAATTAATTGTATACTTTATTTGTATACTTCTTAAATTTTCTAAAATAAATAATTTGAAAATATTATTGTATTTTGAAAATCGTAAGTTTGCATTCAGGTGACTTAATTCTTATTACATCTGAATTAGGCATCCGTGGTTAAGATCATTGACTTCAAACCACTTGCCCCTCACCGCTGTGGGTTCGAATCCCGAAAGGGACTTGGATTCTTTCCCGTGTTTCATGTGAGGAAGCTATCCAGCTATCGGTGGTTCTACTCGGGTGCCCATGCGTGCCTGAAAAAATGCACGAAAGGGCACCTGAAGTCTTCCTCCACCAGTGAAGCTGGAACGTCGCCAAATGACCTATACTGTGTCGGTGTGATGTAAAACCCAATCAAACAAACAAACATCTGATTTTTTTAAGCTCCATGTGTGCATGAGTTGTTGAACAACAGGTGATTCAGGCGTTGCTATTATTTGCTCCTTCGTAACATATGCCCTATTTCATACTCGTTCGTGTGTTTGATAATAGCCACGATTTACCGAACAGAAGTACATAAAAAATTGACGGACTGGGACCCAGGCTAGACAGCAGGCTATATACCCAGGAGTATATATGTATGTATGTAGCTTGGCTCATTCCGTATTTGTAGTATACATTAATGATAAAATATTGACAGGGTCTTTATTCGACAGGAGATTGCCAGGCAACTGATACAGTGTGGACATGAAATTGAAGACAGATAGACAGCAATAATGTATGTAACATAAAACAATACTCAAATCTTTCATAACAAGAGTTGTCTGTATACGAACGACGCTCAACTATTTTAAGTGGGGATGATGGTCACAAACAAGTATCTAAAGTTTCAAAGCCTAAGCTCTTAATCGTTTACCGCATGAGCATATTGTGAAAATAGCCGTTTTCATTAAAAAGCCTCCTGTTACAAGTTCAAACTGCTATGAAACTTTGAAAAATGCGTGCGTCAGTACTGATGAAACTTGGCACAAATGTTGACTGGACCATAGCCATGCTCAATCTTCATTTTCCTGTTACCATGGCAACGGGGGTCGTCTCAAAATTGCCAAAAATCACTATTTTGCATTGTTTTTTTCCATCAAAACTGATTTCAAAGTGTTGCAACTTCTCAATGGATTGAGATAGAGTAAAAGGCTTTTCAGCGTTGATGACACTTTACCTTACGATCGACATGAGGCCATTTTTATCCTGTCACATGTCCAAAATTTGCTCGGCGATGAGGGGGGCTGCCGGCCCCCTTCAAACCCCCGAAACAGAAGGGGGCATATCCCTCTTCTGGCAACCCCCTGATGAACCTTTATGATGGGGAGCGGCGCCGAAAAAGTGATCACTTTTTTATCAGCATTTTTCAAATAAAAACATGTGTTTGGGGCAAAAACAGGACATTTTTTCCACTATCTGAGGCCTAAAAAAAGGGAGGGGGTCGAAAGTGCGTTGTTTCGCGTATATATGTGGTAAATGGTTAACAAAAAAATGATGAAAAACCTTGGAATTACCTAAAAAATATCTAGTTTTTCCATGTTAACACATGGCCTTTCACCAAATTTTGGTGACAAATAGTGTTAAAGTGTATAGGAAAAAAGGGAGGTGCTATGAAAAAAGGAAGTGGCTAGCCGTACGGGCCCGTACGGCTAGCCAAAAGTTCTAGCCGTACGTGAGTCACGTACGACTAGCCAGGAAGTTGAAGTGAGCAAACTGGAAAAATGAGGAGATTTGATTAAAAAATCGTCGTTTAAAGACACAAAATAAAATATGCATTTCGACTTCCATATACTTTTGAAAAGTGCCGTACGGCTAGCCAATACAGTTTGTCCAGGCTAGTCGTACGTGACTCACGTACGGCTAGAACTTTTGGCTAGCCGTACGGACCCGTACGGCTAGCCACTTCCATGAAAAAAACTAAACCAAAGTCATATATTTTGTAAAAATCCATGGCAGAGTTATGTCTACTCAGGCTTTACTCAGCTACTGAAATACCGCACTTGGATTAATTACTTATTAAGACTTAAGAGGGCAAGTGATCCATTCAACTAACTTCGCCAATCTTTCTTCTTGTTTCTCTTTTAACAAAAATTCACAACCACAACATATAATGTTTCAGATTTTTATTTTCTGAAAACAGAAAGCAAATGCTTTCTGTCAGTATTCATAACAATATTTGCCTCTAGTTTAATATAAATAATATTTACAATCATTTCAATACAACAAGAAACTAGAGATTCATTCAAATACCCGACAACCAATCTTACTACAGCATTCATTATGTAAGCCACCTCCAGGATATGTTAGTGTTAGTTTGTTTGCTTTGTAGACAAGATGGTAAGATCTCAATCTTTTCCCTTGTCAAAACAAAACAAAGACACCAGTCCTTGATTTACTGTTTCTCTTAACTATACATTCTGGGGAAATTGTATATGTACAGTTCCAAACATGAAATTGACTTAAAAAACTTGTTTATTGATTTGCCTGAGAAGCTTGAATTTTATATGATTTATATTATTTAATAATCAAACTTTTGTTACCAGATTTTCTTAGTCAACATATTTCATTGCACTGGATAACATAGAACACTTTTGTCATCAGTGGAGGTAAATATTATGTAACAGAACAAATTATACAATGTACATGATACTGAAGATATTAACTACTTTCTTACAGTTAAACAAAATATTTTATGTTACACCATCTGTTTTTAAATTGCCTGAAACGTGGAGCACTTACTTCTATTAAAAGAAATATATAATTTTCTTAAAGGTATTCAGAAAAAAGTATTTTAATGTAATTAGAAGTATAATTGATACACCTAAAAGATCATGTTAATAAACACTTTTATTATATAATCTATAAATAGCTTTGAAATGCCTTTCCCTGATTGGCTAACAGGCAACTTTTTGTAAACAAGAGGGCCATGATGGCCCTGAGGTCGCTCACCTGTATATAGGCCCCCCAACCCCACCCCCCCCCAACGTTGCAGGGCCAATTTAACCCAAGGGCTTTTATTTGCACAAACTTGGTAGACATCCATAAGAAGATGTTTCATGCTAAACATCTAAGCTCTAGCTCATTGGGCTTTTTAAAAGAAGATTTTTTTAAGTTTTTACTATACACATATAGTTAAAAAACAATGACACCCCTGGGGCCGGGCCAGGGCTATTATTTGAACGAACTTTGTAGACACTTACTAGAAGATTGTTTCATGCTTAATATCTAAACTCTAGCTATTTGGGTTTTTTCAAAGAAGATTTTAAGTTTTTGCTATACACATATAAAGAAAATCAATGACCCCAGACGGGGCCAATTTTGACCCCAGGTCTTTATTTGAACAAACTTTGTAGACACTCACTAAAAGATGTTTCATGCTTAATATCTTAACTCTAGCTATTTGGGTTTTTTCAAAGAAGATTTTTTAAGTTTTTGCTATAAACATATATAAGGAAATCAATGACCCCAGGGGAGGTGCCAATTTGACCCCAGAGCTTTCATTTGAACAAACTTGGTAGACACCTATTAGAACATGTTTGATGCTCAATATCTTAGCCATAGCTCTCTGAGTTCTTTAAAAGAAGATTTTTTAAGTTTTTACTATATGCATATAGGGAAAATCAATGACCCCCCGGGGCGGGGCCAATTTTGACCCCAGGGCTTTTATTTGAACAAACTTGGTAGACACATATTAGAACATGTTTCATGCTAAATATCTTAGCTCTAACTCTTTTGGTTCTTTAAAAGAAGATTTTGTAAGTTTTTACTACATGCATATAGGGAAAATCAATGACCCCCTGGGGCGGGGCCAATTTTGACCCCAGGGCTTTTATTTGAACAAACTTGGTAGACACCTATTAGAACATGTTTGATGCTCAATATCTTAGCCATAGCTCTTTCAGTTCTTTAAAAGAAGATTTTTTAAGTTTTTACTATATGCATATAGGGAAAATCAATGACCCCCGGGGCCGGGCTAATTTTGACCCCAGGGCTTTTATTTGAACAAACTTGGTAGACACCCATTAGAACATGTTTCATGCTTAATATCTTAGCTCTAGCTCTTTGGGTTCTTTAAAAAGAAGATTTTTTAAGTTTTTACTATATGCATATAGGGAAAATCAATGACCCCCCGGGGCGGGGCCAATTTTTTACCCCAGGGCTTTTATTTGAACAAACTTGGTAGACACCCATTAGAACATATTTCATGCTAAATATCT